AACATATTTGACCCCTGTGACCTTGAATATGGGTAAAGGTCATTCATTTGAACAAATTCTGTAGCCCTTCATCTCATCATGCTACTGGCCAAATATAATCACCCTGGGCATTTTGGTTATTCAGAAGAAGTTGTTTAAAGGTTTTTTTAATACAATTGACCCCTGTGACCTTGAATATAATTGAAGGCCATTCATTTGAACAAACTTGGTAGCCCTTCACCCAAGCATGCTACTGGCCAAATATCATCTCCCTGGGAAGTTTGGTTATCGATAGGAAGATGTTTAAAGTTTTTAACATATTTGACCCCTGTGACCTTGAAAATGGGTAAAGGTCAATTATTTTAACACACTTTGTAGCCCTTCATCTCAGTGTACTTCTGGCCAAATATCGACACCCTAGGCCTTTTGGTTATTAAGAAGAAGTCGTTTAAAGTAAAATATTGACGCCGGACGGACGACGGACGGACGGACAACGGACGCCGCGCCACGGCATAAGCTCACTTGGCACTTTATCTGAATGTGCCTAAAAACCAGATAACGTAAAATGAAATACTTCGCTCTTCATCTTTTTTTTAGAAATAAGATTCATAGATCTTACGGTAAAATATTTTCGAAATGATGTTAGCCAATTTACCTTGATTTCTGTTTTACTGTTGAACTTAAAGGTTTATTACATAATTCATTGTTGAATATGTCAATAAACACTTTGCTATAGTTTTAGTCATACCTTGACCGAAGGGAACAATTTATTGACTTCATATCCAACATATTGTAACAGGTGTTCCAAATGGATCAGTATTAGGTCCTGCGTTGTTTAATTTTTATTTCAAAATCAAAGATGGCCACAATAAAATGTCTGATTGAAGTGTTTTAAACATGGAATTTGATGTAATTAGTACCAGGTTAACACAATCTCGAGTTAACCCGGAGTTTAGCCCGTGCATGTACGGGGAAGGAATATATCTGCTTTATCCCACTGCATCAGTAGCGTAAAAGGCGACTAAATGTTGGTCCCTACGCAATCGAAGGTTTCTGCTGCGTCTTCTACGAAGGGTTCAAAATGACCAAAATTGATCGACTGTCCCCATTGCAGTACTTGGGATTTTTTTCGTTTCTGACGTTTTCTGTCTTTTCTTTCTCCTTTCTATTTCAGGCGGTGTCTCCCGTCCTCATATGTCCCTGGACGTTAACCCCCCTCCCCCAATTTTTTTATTTTGAAATTTTTAACTGTATGGACGAAAATAAATCCTAATAGCATTTCTTACATAAAAACGAAAGTTTTAGCAATACACAGCATATATTTTACAAACCAAGATATATAACTGCTGCAGTTGTTACTGACAAACTAATAGTGAACCATAATGAATTTTCCTGCGACACATGTTGCATTCATACCAGTAGTTCTGCATCATGTGTGCAGATTATCGCAAAAAAAAACGTTTTCATATATAACAAATGCAATGCAATCTGATTAAAATCATCTGTTACATGGCTCCGCCTGAACATCTGAATGTGCCGCGGTCAGGGTCACGTTAAAGTGACCTTTAGATGAACCAATCAGAGGCGCGCTGGCAAAAGTTTGACAGCGAATCGGAATATCATGGTTGATAGATAAATAGCGAGGGGTATCGAACAGATTAGTTTTCCAAAACAAATATGGCGGCGGGAACTGACGTTTCTACGACGTCAAGGAAAACGTATCCATTGGGAAATAATTGCGTAGGCAACACCGCCATACATTCTTTCTTATCTAATAAAGCTTCGAATATCTTTTTCTGTTCAATCTCAAATAACTTCAGAACTTTCGCATCATTCTCATCAATGTCCGCCATATTTGTTACAACTCCGAGCGCCCTTTTGAAAGAGGGTCTCTGATCGGTCAAAATTTAATGAGTATTTATAAATATAAAGGTCACCTGAACGTGACCCTGCCGCGACACACTCAGATGTTCAGGCGTAATACGAAGTTAACGAAGCCATGAAACATATGATTTTAATCAGATTGAATGCAATAAGGATTGACTTTAGTCCAAACAGTTTAATATTTCCCGCAGTTATCGTCGAGGTCAGATCAATTACTAAGACAGCAACAGAGGAATAGCTGACGTCGCGTGATGTTTTCCGCACACAATCGAAATACAAAACACAGCTATCACATCATACAGTTGTGTTTAATTTTAAGAATAGAAGCAACATTTGAAATGAATAGCATAATCGTTTTAATTAAATGTCGATTGAAGTTGCGGGAAATGATTTTATTAATGTTTTATAAGGTACTATTTTCCAGGAGCGTAATCATTCAAACGTAGCAGTGGTGTTTAGGTAATGTATTCATACATTACAAATAGTCATACTGTCATAAATGAACCCCCACATAGAACGGATATAGATGTGTATTGCCATATCAAATGATTTTTTTTATAGGAACGTTCAATAAGATGGGATCACATGAAGGACTCGAATGGATTGTTGACTTGGACAATGCTCACGATCCGAAATATGGAGAGCCCCATAAAGTACCTATCGTGGCAGCAACCAATGAAAATATTAGAGGATACGGCAATTTAGTGACGGATTTTGATGCTGAAAAGGTCGAAATCGTCCCTTGGCCTGTATCGGGCAGACGACCATTGTGCAGTGGCACGGGCACATTTGGCGGGGTTGCTGAAGGTGACTTCATCCATGAATGGGTCGGTGACCGTTGTAAGGCCACAAGTACAGCTATCGGTTGGGGAGTCGACAGTGACTATTTCTTAGGTCGCTTACCAAAGGGAGTTAATGCAGATACCAAGACAAGTGTTTTGGTTCGGGAAGCGAATTATCATCCCGATGGAAGTCAGTGTTTCTTTCCCAAAGACAGGCTTCCGTTTGTGGCTTTATTTGCTCTTCCTGGCGATGACATCAAATTAGAAGATTTCAGGGCGTTCTATTCCGATGGCAGCTTCGGATTCCATATTCTACCAAATGTTTGGCACCAGCCGATGATTCCTATCGGCCAAAAGGCGGTGATCAGGAACAAGCAAGGTGCCGTCCACGCATGCGTCAGTGTTGATACCGTCGATGAGTTTGGAAAATTTCTTTTAGTTCCTCTCACTCTCGATATCATGTAGAAAAAGCAGACTACCGCTGCATTTATTAAATACAGCGAGCTGGAAAAAAGGATATAAGACATTGTACACCATAACATGAAATAAAGATATGCAGGACTAAACCAAGCGCTTTGCTCGGAAAATATATAGAAGAAATGTCCTGCAGAATGGAGAAGAATCACGTGTCCATATTCATGAAACCTTAAGCATAACTTCTATGCTCAAACCGATTTCTTGTAACTTTCTGAAATCATGTGACGCAGTCAAATAATCATAACATTTAACACAATATTTGTCTTGAAGTATTCTCACAGTTCTTCCAAATCTGACAAATTGTCCTTTCGTAAATTTATCATAAAAATGAGAGTTTTTGGCTCGAGCACAGAATTTCAGTTTAAGCAAGAGAACAGTATATGCTATAGTGTTATATAATAAATAACACAGCTTTGATGGTGAGCTTGAGATAACGTTTATTATGTAACATGATACTAAGAGTTATGTCCCCTTTACCAATGATTTACTTTAATCCGGATAGTTAATCCGCCCTATTTCTAATTTCTAATCGACAACTAACAATCATGTCCATAAAGATGTTAATCAAGATTCGGTTATTGCATGTTCTAAATACACGTAATCTTCATATTCCAATTTCAATTTGAAAAATCTTAATTATTATTCCCTTTAAATATATAATCGATGCTTTTTTGTATGTTTAAAAACGCCGGAAGTAATTGTTACGTTAAAATTAATGGTAATGGGCGAATATAATGCATATAAATATGTTTTTCATGTGTACGTATATATTGTTCAAATATGCTAATTGTTTAACTTAAAAAAATTAAGTGTGTCTTCGAAAACAATGAAATATAATCCTACAAATTGATGGTTAACTTGTTATTCTGATTTGTATACAGTGCAATCAAATTACCCAATATACGATAGACTCAGACAACATACTATACAATACACTCAAACTACACCAACTACGATACACCCAAACTACAAAAGAATTTAAAGTCTCAAACTACATTATATACAATACACTTAAACTGCATTAAATGCGATACACCCAAACTACATAATAATTTAAAATCTCAAACTACACTATTTACAATACACTCAAACTACATTAAATGCGATACACACAAACTACGTAATAATTTAAAATCTCAAACTACATTATTTACAATACACTCAAACTACATTAAATGCGATACACCCAAACTACGTAATAATTTAAAATCTCAAACTACATTATATACAATACACTCAAACTACATTAAATGCGATACACCCAAACTGCAAAGTTTTTTATAATATCAAACTACATAACATACAATATTGGTAACATAACGGTAAATTGTACGGAAGCCTACAGATATGCTCATGCACTCCATGAGCAATGGCAAGTAGAACGCGAAGAACAGGGGTAAATTCGGTCTCTGGGAAGTACTCAGCCAAGAGGAAAAGACAACCACACTCTTCAATTTGGGGGGAAAATGTCGGTATGAGTGCAAACCTAGTGCTAATAATACCAGTTCTTTGACAATAACTAAGCACACCATTAGGAAGAAATACAGAGAGACAGAAGAGTGTACATGATAATACCAATTATGGCAAAGGATATAGATTTATAAATAGTCATTACTTAGACAATCATATACAACAGGTTACCAAACACACAGCTTTGTGCAAAAATGCACAGCATATTGAGCTTGCGGGGGCTCCCCTCTTTCTTATCACACACAATTGACCAGGCTCGGACCAGCATGTGTGTTATTGGTAAAGTGCCACGGTTGTAACAAAAAATCCACCTTCAACACCAGCATGCAACTTCATATTGGACGATCCAGCAACCACTATGATATCAATGTACGTACTGTTTGGGGTAGTGTTTGCATAGGAAATGGTCGCGCCCATATAAATGAAATGCTCGCCTGCAACAACAGTCCCGGTAAGAAATTACACATATTATTTAAATTGGTCACCATATTCTTTCAATAATTCATGTAAATCCTCACAAACCTGTACACTGAATGCTTTACTTAATTATTCAGAAACATTGCATGATACATGTATGCACCTCATTATGTAAAATTACAAGTAATCATACATTCATCTTACCCAATTAATCCTCAACAGAACCTCATAAAGCAATGACCAGTGGGAATGTTTATATTGGTAGGTGTAAAATACAAATTGATACAAGAGGATAGTCTTTCAATTTTAAACGCTCACATATACTTGCTTAGTCCCACATTGTTTTCTTTATGTGTAGTATTAGGGACAGTGTTAGTTTCTACTGGGACAGGACCAAATTATCAAAATTGAATTAAAATTAATCATTGGCAAAACAAAACCATTCACCCAACACTGGTTTACGTGTAATTTTTCTTACTTTTTATTAAAATAACTTGTTTTCTTATAACTGAATATCATTTCTGCACAAAATGCTATGCAATAAGACAAAAGCATCGTTATTTAGGGAAGATGTTTCAATTTGTTTCCCAAATGTACCCCTAATATCGGCACTTTAAATATTCCAAACACTTCCCGAATTTATATGGTTTTCAACTGTAAGCCAAATAAGGTAAGGGGAATCAAAGTGTTTTGAATGGCATATAGTATGTGAAATATAATTATCTGTAAATAATTGCAAATATAAATAATTCCGTACATACTTTATGTAATATAAATACACTTGTATTGTTTTGTTTTAGGTATGACACAAAAGGTGTTCAATCGTATCGAGTCAGATATGAACTCTTGGTGGAGCAATGTGCTTCAAAAAGAATAAGACGAGGCTATAGAGGAGGAGAAACGACTTGCTGTTGAAGATGGACATTTTCTTGATGGTAAATATTATAACCTTGAAATGGCACATTAATTTCCCAATGATATAAACACTGTAACATTTTATCTGTGTGATGTAATGCACAAAATGGTGGGTTTATATCGGCATGATGTATCCTATAGCATATAAAGTTTAATGCAACGGTGTCGCGGGTGGGGGCGCTATGTCTATAAGTCCGGGATGCAAGTCAGTACGGAAGGGATAACTCAAACAAACTACATCAAGTTCACCTTATTTTATTTACACATCCATGATATCAGGTAGTTTCACACAATGTCCACTCGGAATCAAACACTTGATCTAACATTACTCCAAAAATATATTTCCCTCAGAATAAGGTGTAATTCCTATAATAGTGTATGCGCAGAAGTGAAAGCCAATTTGGAGTAAGTCGCAAAATAGTGCTACTCTCTCCTATTTCTCACTCTCACTCACTTGTATACGACCACAAACTGCATTGTCATTGGCTGACATCGGCTCCTCACCCTCTCTGATTGGCTGTAACGTAGTTATTGTTAGCCGCACGTTACTAAAATACCTAGTTATGCCGTAACATCCGGCTCTAATGACCTACAGCAACTACACAACAACATGCCATACACTGTGTCATATATATACATAGTTAATCTATCTAACTCTTAAACATAACTGTATTCACTATAAAAACAACAATACTGTCAATAGATGTAAACTCTATAATACTGTATAAGGTAGGGAAACATTTCCACGCTACAAATGGTAAAATCATAAACCAATAACATGGGTAAGGGTTGTTGTAAGCTGTTTTTATGTAAAATTAGCTCACCTGGTTCTAATGATCATGTTGAACTTAATGATGCTGTACCGTGGCATCCGTCCGTCTGTCAATACAACTTTTCCTTTAAAATGTTATTATGCCCCCATCCCCCCCCCCCCCACCCCCTCCGTAATGAAGTTAGGGGAGGGGTATTAAGGAATCTGTTTTTTATGCATGGATTTGGATGAAACTGTACACATATGTTATACCTCAAATGAACTTGTGTCTCCTAGAACGCCATTAGGTTCTTTCATTATTTACCAGAGTTAAGGCCCTTGACTTCTGTAGACGGTACATAACATATTGAAATGGCTAATTATCTTGTAAACAGGAGGTATTTTGTATACACATATACATTACATTATCGTAGCCAATTATGCAGTGACAAACTTCCAAGGTCATGAGGATAAAGTTCAAAGCTTACAGATGCATCATGTTACTTAAATGGGTAATTAGGTCAGAAATGGTAGGTATTTTGTATACACATACCTTAGACTAAATGTAGCATTGATGGAAGCTATATTGTGACAAAAAAATTAACTGAATGAGGTTGTGGCTAGTTGAAGTTAATCTTTAAAGTACACTATCACTGATGTATGTTGCCGAAAGACAATGCCAATATTTGGAAATAGTTCCACTATTATCATGTTATTTTCCATCGTTGCTTTGTAAATAACCAGTGTTAAATTTATAATGAATAATGTTGCCTATTGAAATATGTTTTTTCTTATTTACTATTAAGGTGTACCATCAGTAACAGTCATTTGTGATGGGGGATTGAGTAAGCGGTCCCATAAGCCCTCTTACAATGCCCTTGGTGATGTCGCCATTATTGTCGGAGCGAGGACAAAAAACTACTTTATATTGGAATAAGGAACAAGTACTGCTACATTTGCAGCCGTGCTAAGAACCTGAAGATCCAACCATGAACCCACACAAGTGTTTACAGAACTGGTATGAGTCATCACAGGCCATGGAATCAGACATAATTGTGGCTGGGTTCAGATATACCGATAAAAAAGGCTTAAGATTTCCACCATAATTGGAGATGGTGACTCTTCAGTTTTTGCTAAAATTCAACAAGAAATTCCAATATGGGGGCAAAAAGTAACCAAAACAGAATGTTCCAACCATGTCTGTAAATGTATTAGATCCAACTTAGAGAAACTGGTGGAGGAAAACCCAGAGTTCAAAGGCAAGGGAAAACTGACGAAAGCTGTTAGGACAAGGATAGTTCCATCAGGTGTGCTATCCGTATGCGGTCTAAATACTGTGCCAAACTACTGGCAAATGATATCTGCAACAGCTTTCGTCATGTGTTTGGTGACCACACTAACTGTTCAAAGGATTTCTGCAAGGCAAAGCAGTTAACATCAGAAGCTCCATCACTGATGATGATGAAGATGTTGACCATCAGGATGTAATGAGTGCGCAGTCAGACTATTGGAATGAAGGAGCACCATTATTGGCACAGGAAGAGTCGCGCAAAGGAGGGTATCATAATAGTATGGTTTCAGTGGATTCCAATATGTTGGAAAGTATCAGCAGACTACTAGACAGGTATGCCGCAAAAAGTTCCCGCTTTTTAGGGAATAACACCACCAACCTGGCCGAAAATTATATGACTGTGCGTTTGAAGTTTGATGGGGGAAGATTTACAATCATTGCAATAGGGGAGCCTGGAATACGAGATGCTATGCTGCAGCACTGCGCTACAATCTGGGGCCCACCTGGAGTCCCACAATATGGCAAAGTGCGACTGGAACAGAAGCAGGTAAACTGTTCACAACCATCTACAGGAAACAGAAGCAGCGACTTCAGACCAGCTAAGTGTCCAAATGCCAGCAAGCTGCCAAAGCGAAACGATGGAAGAGAAAAGTAAGTGGTGTTCCAGTCAAATGTATTGTGAAACAACTTTTGTACTCCAAATTTCGCGGTAACAGATTCACTAAATTAGGCCACCGCCTTGAAAAAACTGCCATCAACGAATACATCATCCATCAGGGAAAACGTCAGGTGAAGTGTCAGGTCAGCCCTTCAGGCCTTTGCATCCATCAAGATCTGAAATCCCTTGCTGGTAGTCCAGATGGTATTGTTACAGATGTAACCAACAAGGAGAAAGGTCTTATTGAAGTTAAGAACTTGATCTATGATAAGGAAGTGAACTTTGAGCAGGCCATACAAAATAAGAAAATTTCTAACTTCTGTTTGGAAATGGCTCACAC